CCCCAAAACCCCAAAACCCCAAAACCCCAAAACCCCTTGTGAAGTAATAGTGTTGAAACAATATTTTCTTTAAATGAATCAAGTATGGAATAAACCAAATGTTAAAGGTGAATGGGATATAGTAAGTATCTGGGCCTCTATAGAAAAATCTTATCAAGGAATTAACTTCTTATTGCATATAGTTTCAGCTAAGTCTCTTGTAAATTACAATGAAGTTTTCAGATTTTTGCGTTTTAGAATTGCATAATTTAGGTTAAAATTTTATAACTCAATTTTTTTGAAAAACTAATAATATTATCACCTAAGTCAAGCTGTTCTCAGATCTCTCTCATGATGCCACAAAAGGCTTACACAGTAGAGAAATAGGATTATAATTAGTGTTATATAACCTAGCATGATTCGGAGACTACTAAATCAGCTATTAACTATCTCACAGCTCATAGTTTGAAATATGTCTGCTCAACAGTTTCAAGCAGGCTATGAAATCATAATTATAAGACTTGATACAGTATTTAGTGAAATGTTTCTCTCACTTAAGAATATTTAAAGCATCCAAAGATTTACTGTATAATTAGAAACATAGTCTTGAACGAGACTCTCAGCTTGTGTATCATCTGTTTCTAGTTTTGGCTTCTATGACTCAAGAAAGTTTGGCATTAACTATAAAAACATTAAATTTATCGAGATACGCAGTCTAATGAATGCTCCTTTTACCAAATGAGGGAAATAATATTGATCGACACTAATTATTTCTGTTGAACCTTCTACGCTCAGATATTTTATAGCTTAAAATAAAACTTTTGGACTTACTCTATTGCAGATCCTACCCAATCGAGAGTAGCCCAAGGATTGTAGAATTTACCGGAATAACTTTTAATGGGATCCGTATGCATTTTTTTAAGCTAAGAATATTCCGCCTAATATGTACCACCTTATGTAATCAAATCAATAGAAAAGATTATGAAATAATTCAAATATTTTTGAATTGTGGGACACCTGGTTGTGCATGTAGAAAGTATCTCTTGATTCGCATAAATTTCTACCTTTAATGTGACGAAAATTGGGGCCTCAGAGCCAGCCTAGTCAGGGGATTATCATTAAAAACTGTTCTTTTCTTGTAACAAAATTTAATATTATGAAGATTTCATAAGATTTGAGATAACTGTAATGTTTTTCACCATTGAAATTTTGAAAGAAGAAAATTTTTATAGACTACAGAAAATGAGATGGTAGAGTATACTCAGAGACATGGACAGGCTACACAGAGGGTATATCAACATAAGGTCAAGGACTCCAGGATCTTATGGCAGAATAAAGGAAGGCCTAGTGATTGCCTGATAAAAAAGTTTCGAGAAGAAGCTAAGAATAAACTTACATGAAGGCAATACAAAAGGATTTTATCAAACCCCATGAAAAGTAAGGATTTTAGCAACCTTTGAGTGTTTGGCTCTATGAGTTCATTTCCTTTCATCATGATCTATATCAGAATCTGAAAATGTCTTGATATTTCCCCTTCCGGATATTTAGTTTGCCTAAGAAATTTTCGAATATTTCAGAACATTTCAAATCTTTATAAAAACTTTTCCAAAGTTTCTGCCAATTGTTTAAAAGCCCTTAAGCGTGTCCCTCTGGACATGCTTAAGGGCTACAGAAGTGTTCATACAAAGTCTTTTGACATTTTCTAAAGTACTCATGAGAATAATGATTCATAAGGTTATTTAGGAGGCATAAGAGGGATTCATGAAGACAAGAATAATGGGCTGATGGTGAAAAAGAGTAGAGGGATTGAGAGAAGTAGAAGTGAAGTCAACCCCAGTCTGAGGGTAAGGTGAAGATGGTCTGAAGAATTTAGATGGATCTAGAGGAGAAAGAGAGTGATGAAGAGTAAGAAAAGTTTCGAAGAGAAATTTGGTAGTTCAAAGTGGCTGGCAGTTTTTAATTTTGGAAAGAAGAGTCAAGAACTTATTTTATTATTTCCTACTCCTATTGTGCCATTTTCTTTCAATTCAGGAGTTTTAGCTGCACATTAAGCACAAATTTTTTTCTATATTATAAAGTCAATAAATTTTTCTTATTTTCACCGCTTTCAATTAAAAATATTGTCTACCTTTAACTTAACGATTTTTCTTTTATTGCACATGGCTATAATTCAGATTTACTGGATCTAATTACTCAATGAGTTTTGTTTGAAAATATTCCTATTGCTAAAATGAAGATTTAATCAATAACCTCTAGACAAATACATGTAAGCGGCAACAATCCTCAGTCACCATGAGAGAAAGCTTTGAACAAAGAAGAGCCACAGTCTTCTATTGAGATTATCTCAATCAGCGATTTCAGCCAGAATGTGTTTTCTAATAGCAATAAATCGCCAAAGAATTCATCATCAAGCTCAAATATGTTTAAGGACGAGAGGAAATCCCCTGAATTCAGCTTCCCTGTGAATCTCAAAGAAGACATGGTCTCTAGCTCTAGTTATCTCTACGGCTAGAGTATAATCATCCTTCGTCGTTTGGCAGGCAAAGCTTATTGATATATATTGAATTTCGAAAAATTTCAGTTTTCAAATGGCTTGGGTTCTAAAGCATAGTAAAAAATCCTAAAAGTCTGAGCTCAACTAAAAGTAAAAAAAGTGTACTGACAGAAAGTATGAGGTTTAGGAATAATTTAAGCAGGTATATAAAGATGAAAATAGTCGAGTATATCTGCTTTTAGCCCATTACAGATCAGTAAAATCCCAAAACCTTGATTCTCTCTAATTCTTACTCATTTCACCAACCATTTCACTAAACACCTCCTAATCCCAAAAATTTCCCAAAAGTACTCCCTCCTTCCCCATTCCTCCACCCCTCTTCCAACCCCCCTAAAATTCCCCACAAAGCCCCATTCCTTCCACTCAGAGGCCTAAATTCATCCCTAAACTTCCACTAAGCCCACTCTAAACTTCCCTTAAGAGTCCATGGTCTGTAAGAAATGTTAATTTTAGTATGATTTAAGGGGTTTTGGGGTTTTGGGGTTTTGGGGTTTTGGG